TGCTATTTCGATTTTTTTTTTCTTTCTTTCTTTAAATACCGCGAAAGAATAAAGTGAAATACACTTTTAAGATGGCATGGGTTTAAATTTCACTGTTAACAAAGAATTTTTGAAAATTGCACAAGTTTGATTTTTTTGGACCCCTTCATATTTCTATTTTATTGAAGATAGAGATTTTCTCTTCAAACGAAATTTATTCTCCACAATTAGTTCCTGAACACTTGAACTGACACGCGGAACAAAAATGTATGAGCATGTATTACTTAGAGTAACAGAAAATAATTATTGTATATTAGTTTCTAGAGGTAAATATTAAACAATGACAGATATTGCACTTAATAAATATATAACTAATTTTAATTGCCAAATGTATTTAAACGATTTATAATGACATACTTGCTACAATGGTTGTGCTTGGTTGATGATACAATAGTTCAAGCTCCACAAGTATTTCATAAGAAATTTAATTCATTTTGAATGATTACTTCTGTATTTGTTGTTGCAATAATCACAACATAAGTGATTCACACATAGATTTTTACAAACTGTTTACGAACATGCAATGTAGACTTTTGCTTTTGTCTTCATTGCAGTTTTTAGAATTGATGTCGTCGTTTAGTACTGACCGAAAAAGAATCAGAATTTTCTATGGAAAGAATAATTTGCTTCTTTGAGAAATCATAATTAATTTTCTCCCCAAATCGAACGAGAAAATCACGAGAAATTTTCTAACCGGTCACTATCCAATCCATCGCCCAGAAATGTAGATCTTCCCAGTACAATATGTTGTAAAATGTTTGGAGAGGCTATCTTCTGGACACAGCTTTGACTGAAAATGTTTCAGATATCAAATCTATTTCCATCCCTTTGGACTCGATTTCAACACAAATGGACAGAATGGTGATAAAACACTGAAGTTCTTCTACAGATACAGACCACTCATCATTCTGATCTCTGCCTGCTTCAACATCTGTGGAAGCCCTTGTTTTCAATACAGTTTCATCAATTATCAGGTTCTACGCACTCAAGATATGTTCAGCAAAAATTGTATGCTTGGCATCAGGAAACAGTTCCATTTTCTCGAACTCAATTTTGCTGACCAAGCCTACCTCCAGAGGTCCCACCAGCACCAATGACCCATCAGATGTTTCCACTTCTGTGCTTCTCATTTTACGTCTACTTCTGTAAAATGTTTAATACAAATAAGCAAATGAAAAATGGAATTGGTAAAAAATTGCACATTGACGGTTTGAGTGCAGTCATTTTCACGTATGAGTGAAATATGGGCAATTCTAACACAAATTTTTTTCCAAAAACTGCAGCAATTTTATTTTTAGAAGTTTTGCAATAGTAGTGCTAAATGCACTGAAAAACAGGACATTACCATATAGAAATGACAGTACTGTTCTTTTCAAAAACAATGTATTTTTTTTAAATCTCTCATCATTAATATTTACATTACAGGTAGTTTTTATACATTATTGTATTTGTGAGTACAAATGTTTTAAATATCTGGTGAAAACTAAAAGCAGGTCAAAGTTGAACATTTTCAGAAAAATCCAATATTTTCTCAAAACGCCTCCAAATTTTTTCAATGAAAATTTACATTTTTTTTTTAAATTTTCTCATTTATAATATTCTGTCACTTTTCAATTTATCAAATAGGTGACTGCAAAATTGAAAAAAAAAAAAATAAATAAATTGGCATTTAGGCACTGATATGTAGCACCTGGAAAAAGAAGGGGGGAAAACTGAAAAGCTAACACAGACTAAAGAGATTAGGAAACTAACATGATTTTCAACTATTTAAATGTAAATAAAGAAACCATCATTACTCCATGTACTCCACAAAAACAGTTGTCTATATATAATAAATTATATAATATACAGATATATAATATACTGTAACACAAAATTTATATAATAAAATAAACATATAATGTACAAAATAACAATTTAGACTTTACTTCCTCCATCTGTAATTCTTGGTGTTTTTTTAAATTCAACTCCCTTACCCTAATCTGGGTCAGAGTGCTTGTTAAACACACCACTTCACATGGAACTGATTCACACTTTTTTCTTGCGTATTTTTGTGAGGGTTTTAAAAATTTCACTAATTGGATTGTGATATTCATGAAACATTTCGTATTGTTCCTTTCTTATAAAAGTTGCTACACTGAAATCATCTGAAGGAAACAGTACCTCTTGAAATAAAATGTAGCCAGCTTCCAGGATTATTGGAATTTTGCTGAATAGGGTCAGTCAATGAATCTTCCAGTTCCTGACACACAAAATGTCAAATCTTCATGGTCATTTTTATTCCTTGTTCAATCTGAAAATCCATAGGTGTTTCATCTGAGAGGTGGATTCTCTTTGTCAAGAAGTGGTTGAGCTAAATTAGAAACATCTGCAAGTTGCTCAACATTCACTTTACACAGGGGCGGATGCAGTGATGAATTTTGAGAGGGGAATTGTTTTTTATTCAAATGTTTCTTTTTTAGTTGATATGTCGTATTACAGATTATATAGAATGCCACAGACTAAACTCATCTCATGCAGCAATACAATTTTATTCCTTTTAATCACTCCCCATGAATCTACATTTGCTTTACAAGAATGTAATGAATAAAGCTTACTTTTTAAGCCTCTTTTTAAAATAAAGAGCATTAATATGATCATACATTACAGATGAAGTTCTAATAAATAAGAAGAAATTGTCCAGAACAATCATCATCTGTAAGAATATAGCAGTTTCAGTAAGCTCTTTGTATTTGTTAAATGAAAATATATTTCTCTGAGAGATTTATTGCTATCATTCTGCTAATGATGTTGGCCATTTCTTCCAACATACTATTTTATTGAATGATATTAATGATAATGCTTACTATCTTTTTCCATGCATTGTTCTGATACTTATGACATCGAACCAGTTGTTGACACTCCTCAACATGTCTGCTGTCTCTAACTCAATGTTTATTAAGAAAGTTCGGGGTTTGACACCACTCAATTGCATTTGCCATAGAGTTTGAAAACAGCAGTTTTTACTTTTGGCCTTGATTTGCCCCTCATGTCAAATGATTTTCTTTTACTTTAATGCAATTTTCAGGTCACACTGGTTAAATGCCATAATTTGTTCAACATTCGTTATTTACAAGAGAATTATCATAACACAACCATTCTCGAGAAAATGATTTCTAACCAACTTCAAACAATGATAAGGATCTGCAAATGTGCTACGTTTGAGTTCTTTTTCTCTACTTAATGATCAAAGTGACGTCAATCTACTTTTACCAGCAGATCATCCCAGTTTTACATTCTTTGATGCCACTACAATGGTAATAGAAACAACTGTATAATACAGTTGAATTAAAGCTGCTGAACAAAGTTGGGTTACAATTTCAAATAGAATTTCCTTTGCTACTGGACAATCAAACTCGTAGAAAACAGGTTGTTTCCAACAATTAAAAAAAGACAATGTGTCAATCACTTGGCAGGCATTATGAGGACAGTATTTTTTCTGCTATTTGACGTCAACTTCAATTTTGCTTGAAATTTTTCATCAAAAGATATGGAGCATGTGTGTTCAAGTGGATCTATTACCTTGCCCTTTTCATGCAAGCAAGGACTCTATTAGCAGTCCATTCACAAAATGTTGATATTGCTGCTGATGGCATTTTTAATGTTTGGCACCTGTAAGACTTGGAGCTCATATTCCTTAATGAAATGGCTGCAGCAATACAGTTTACCACACTCCTCAATGCTCTTCACCCAGGACAGCATTAATTTTGTGAAAACAGTGTTCAGAAGTCTGTGACTTTTACCTTGAAACTTTTATCTTTGCTCTTCATTCTACACTTTAATTGCCTGTTTTCTTTTACAAAAATAAAACAATTCCTTTCAAGACTACTAAGTGTTTGTATTTCTCTTAATTGATTGCACCTGAAATTAAGATTTTGTTTTTTTACTTAAAAGAATATTGATATTGGATGTTCGAAGTTCTATGATACTCATATTGTGGATGATAATTAAATAACAAGTTCATGCAATATTAACATACAATGTCTCAAGTGTCTCCAGAGGAAATCACAAAATTCTGTCCTAAGGACATCAGTTGCTCCCGTATCTCCAAAACTGTAAAATCCAAGTTGTTTAGATTGCAGTAAAATCAATCATGTTGCTTACCACTTCACTGTCGGTAGAAAATAAGGTTATTGAAAAGTAATAATACCAGATAATCATGTTTGAATTTATAAATCATACAAATGTATAAAAGTATAAGTTGTATTTTTCTTAATAGTTGTTCCCTCAATGTTTTGCATATCAATTCTACAATAGTTCATTGTTAGATGGATTTTGGAGGAGGGTAATTTGTTTTTATTAATAATCTTTGAATTATCTTTATAAGGGAAACTACTTTAACTCAGTACCTTAGTTCACTGAAAAATTTCAAATTATTGTATGGCATCATCAAAAAGTTTTCTGATATTCACAGATGAACTCCCCATCAATACTTTTTGATTTTGAACACTTCAGGAGGAAAATGTCTGGAAGAAATTCTGGCTAAAAAACAAAATGATTTCACATTAAAGATGTAGTGGCCTCTATGATGAATAAAATTATTACTATAGTAAATAAATTACAGTATATAAATCAACTTACCTTGTTCCACATTGATATGTCTTCCGCTAACTTTCAGCCATTTCATCTAGAAATTTTTATCCTCGGGAAATATAAAAATACCCTACTAGATCTTGCCTAAATGGTTTGAGTGTTATTGCTTGAAAAATTTTACTGAACACCACATTGCTATATTCGGATATTTTAAGTGTGTCATGAAAACATTTAGCAAGTTACAAAATAAAAATATAAAATGACAAAAACGCACTACATAAATTAATACATGAGAAACAAGTCTGAAATAACAGATACAAATTAAGTATACAATTCAAACATGAACCAAATGAAAGTAGCATGACAAATTAGAGAAGTTTCACTTACTAGCTTTATTTTCCAAAAAAAACATTACTAAGTGCAATTGCCCATTCTTTTCTCTCCTGAAATAGCTCACGAGTAGTAAATTGAAATTCTTAAATTCTGGAAGGAGAGCAAGAACACTAAAATTAAGGCTAATTCTAATTTCTATGACATTTCCCTACTTAATACTATAAAAAAATATATTCAGATATGGGAAATTTTGCAGTTTTTTTCATGAAATTTACGAATTTATGACATTTAATTTCACAGAAAGTAATATAAATTTTAACATGCATGAATATAACAATAAATACCCTTTTCGGGTATTATTTGGATAATGATGTAAATCTGATTTTTTGTAACACAAATACATTTGAATTTCTAAATTTCCAAGAAAGTGTCAATTATCCAGCCTTGACAGCTTAAAAATTAATATGAAAAATAAACAATTTAAACAGTAACAAAGACGAAGTGATGTTTACATGTCACTTCAGGAATAAATTACTTTTAACTTTCTAATTTTATACAGTAAAGGCAATGTAGATTACATTCATTTCTCAATGGACGACAAACAAAACGTGTACACGAGAAGAGAGATTTAAAAAAAAAAGTATGAATGATCAAGGACCAATATTTAAAATACACTTTACAAATGTGCTTCAAGGACTTGCACAAGATGGTGATTGTTTCTTGGTATCTGACTACATTTACAATTTCGCTAATAGTGTGACACAAACTGGTATACAAAGCACCATGCTTGAAGCCCGAGAGACTGCACAGCAGCTCATCCTCGTCATTCTATCATGAAGGAAATTAATTATAAAGAGTGCTAATAAGAAGAGAAACTAACAATCAAAAAGAAAATACAGCCACTGAGATTCTACTGTTTACAATCTCAATGAGCATTGTTATCAAAACTGAGGTTTCATCAAGCAGTAATTTTTCTGATATGCTATTTTGGTAAAGTTAATATGATGAGCCAGTTGCAGACATTTATTCAACTTGCATATTCAAACAATTCACAATGTTCTTCGGCAAAATATTACAAAAAAAAAAAAATACTACCAGTCAAGTATTTACCTTTTGACATAAAAACAATTTGTTGAAGAGGAACTACCTTGTACAATTCTATGAAACAAGTGAAAGTCCTTGTAAGAAAAGTCAATTCAAACCAAAAAGCTCAGAAATATAACAAATTATTCCTACTCATTAGACTGGCTGAATTATTAAAAAATTCAGTTTCTTTAGCAACTGTACCATCTAGTCAGGTAGTAAATTTAAAAACGTAGCCTTTATTGAAAAATAGTTAAGGAATTAATTTTTAAAATGGTGAAGGCTTTTCCAAACAATTCTTTCTACAATGCCAGTGTTTAATGAATAGCATATAATGGACACTTTCCTACTGACCACATCAAAGAATATGTTTGTATGTCCAGCTGGCAAAGTAACTTGTATAAATTACCTTATCACAAATACTTCATTCTTGCATGCATTTTGTTAGGAATATACTTGGAGAGGTTTCTAAGACATTTACTTTTCACTTCCTCTGGACTTCAGCAAATCATTGAAATGCCTGAATGTTTAGTCAAACAGGATCTAAAGAATTACATTGTAAGTGGTGAAAAATAACTAGCCATAAAATCCTATAAAACAATCGTGAAGAAAAATCAGTTATTGAAATAGTTATTTCAAACCTGAAATAACATGCTACATTCCACTGCATACTTAACATTGTCACAATTTCTTAATTATGTAACACTTGGCATTTCCACATTTCCAGATGTCCAAAGAGGAAGAAAGTAAAAAAGCATTAAAATGAAACCAAGTGTTTGTCGACAAATTTATTTCCCTTTTCAGGTAATTTGATCTATCGACATACAATATCAAAATACCAATATTTTTTATTCGGTTTGTACAACAGTGGTTTTCTCAGAAACATACAATCCATCCAAAAATTTTCTGATATCTTTGTTTTTAACAGTGGTGGATTGTTGAATGAGAGCAGCTGATTGGGAAACATCTTCAATGCTGTTACCCTCCAAAATTAGCTCATCCTTCTGTTTAGGCGAATTGACCACTGTTACACCTGGTGCCATCTTCACACGTCGGATGTACTTCTCCCCAAGGAAGTTCCTAATTTCAATGACAGTATTTTCTTCAGTTGTCACACAGTTGATGGGAAAGTGAGCATATACTGCACGCATCTTGTATTGGAACCCTAGGGTCACACCCTTCAACATGTTTTCAATGTGTGAGCAAACAGTACGCACAGCTGCAAGCTCTTTCTTGGTACCAAACCATTTCTCTACTTTCAACAATTTAGGGTTGACCATATGAATATCAATCGCAAGATGTTTAAACGACCTGCAAAAGAAGAAGAAACTTATTAAAAAGAAAACTAGTCAACCCTACTTAACCTGCACTGTAAACATAATTATTATCATCCTCTATATAGTCAATTTAAAGACACTTCACAATATGATAACTTAGCAATAATTAAAAAGAATAACTGGCATTGTAGTCTTTCCCATTAAATCCCTTAGTTCAGGCAAGAAATAGATTTTCATAATTTTAATCATTAATTTTGTACATAATTTTAAAAGTTTTGAACATACTGAGTGCAGCATTTAAATATCGTCAGGCAAATCAAACGATAGAAACTTAACGGAATGTATTACTTAAATCGGAAGATATACCATGTAATAGTGCTTTTCCAATTTGTAAAGAAATCAGCATTGGAATATGGCGATTTAGAGTATCAAAGAATTTCACGAATACCTCTGTAGTATCCATATAACCCTTGCCCAATTATTCCAGATTTGAAAAATGAGTAATTACTACAGATCATTTATACTGTACATTCATCAGCTTAGGCTAAGTATTACCTCTTTAGTGTTCCACGTGGACCCGTCACAGTTACCTTTCGCGACCGGACCGAAACTTTACAATCCTTTGGGATTTTTACAGTTTGATTGATGTTAATTTGCCGCATCTTGCAGTTCTACGCTTCAAACACCCACTAGTTAAAATGTTCTCACTACACCCGCAACAATACAAAACAGAAGGCACAGCAACACACAACCCAGATGCGTGCGCCCCCGTCCCACTCCGCGATAAAAGAACCGGATGCCTCACCATTGCCGGAAGAAGCCATCTTGTGAATCGCGATTGCATTTGTTTCATGGCGTCAACCGCAAACTTTTAAATTCACGCTAACTGCAATTTTTATTCCATCTTCATGCTTAGTTTATAATTACAGTGTCTTATGATTACTTAACTTTTTCAGAAATAATTATTCAGCAAATCACCAAATTACGGTACAGACAGCATCCCAAATTTTCGCCTGTTTAAAGACATCTCCAACTCGCCTGTTATAGATTTTCCGATTATTTTTTTTCTTGGCTAATAAAGAAAATTTTCAAATCGTCTTTGTTTTGCTTCTAAACAATATATATGTGCGTTATTCCCATTAGACTCACAAATTGAATTTTAAGGTTTTTATCAGAAAATAAAATGAAAATATTTTATTAGGGTACCAAAAAGTGGGGGAAGTTCAACAGAAGAGGCCTTTGGACCGAAAAGAGAGGGAGCCCCCTAGATAAAGGCATGTCATTAATTTAATTATGTGATAATAAACTTAATTTTAGTAGAAAAAACATTTTTTTATAATCAATTATTGCAGAAAATAAATGAGGATTTTTCCTCATAGACTGCCAAAAATTATTATATTTCCTTAGCAAATGATATACTTATATACAAAGGATTATAAAGCTTTATAAACATGATAATTTGTAACTACATTCCAAGGTAACAATATATACAAATGTATAATAAGCACTAAAATAAATGCACAGAACTATTCATCGAGGTTTAGATTTAAAAGAAGGGAAAATGGAAAAATTGTTTTCACTTTTTAACTACAGCCCAGCATTAAAAAAAAAAATCTGAAAAAAAATCACAATTTGTGTTGTGAGAGAAACTTGTGAGATTTTTTTGAGCCTTTTCCAGGGTTATACAACAGTAAAAAAAATTATTTTTTTTTTCTCCATTTCTATTTAGCTGCATTTAAATTTGAAATTGCACATCAAAAAATGTTTTTCTGTTATCTTTAATTATATTCTTGCTTTTCATATTTTTTTCAAAAAGGTGAAATAGTGTTAATTTAATGAAAAAATTAAAATTAAAAGACATGTTCTTGGCTGTAGAGGGGTGTGCGTGGAGCAACAGAGGCTAAGAAACCTTTCAAAAATCTTATTTTTAAGTTAGAGTTATAGTGTAACTACTCATATGTCATTTGGTTTTAGGGTACTTTTACCATCTTATCTGGGGCACCCTTTCACATCTACTTTCCAGTTTTTGGATAACGCTAATCATGGTTGGTAATATGTTTCAATTCACATTATTAAGGCTTCGACCAAAGAAAACAAATTCGTTCCAATAAGCAGTAAAATGTCAGCACTTCTAATGTTCCATTCATGACATTAAGCATACACTTTAAAATATGAGCAGCAGAAATCAGAAACAATGCTTTGTAAACTTCATCTATTTTGTTTTCTGTACACCATGGTAAATTCCACCCCTAACTGCGGTGCCATCATATTCCTGACTCTACATTTAGATAAATCAATGTCTTGTTCTTTATTACTTTCTACAATATCAAATGGCAACCCTTGTGATGATTAATCTTTTACTTTCTTAAACCCTATGTAAGATGAATTAATTTTTATGTTAATCAGTTTGCAGTGTTCTTTTCTCTCGATGGTTACATATAGGAAAATTTGACTTAATTGGTAAACTTTTGATACCTTTAGCATTGTGTCCATTATAATAGAAAAAACTTCGTTTATTTCATCTATGATTTTATCAGACCCTTCATTTAAACCTCTATTTTCAGATCATTTAACATTTCATTTATTTCTTCTATGATTTTATCAGACACAGTTTCAGATAAAAGACTTATTATTTCATTTCTAATTTGGAGACTTAAATAGCATGGGGCCCCCAGACATGTTCCTGTTGGTCCCTATGGAACTTAGGCTGCTGGTACAAAACTACAAGAACGAAAACGTTCCAGACACTGATATCATTATCTTATTTACAAATTCAGACCTTCAAAAGTCTGAAGCAATAATGCAAATAAAATAGTAACAAATATATTGCATCTATGATTGCATATTGATTAGAAGGAAAGTCTATAATATTTCATTCATGTTACATCTAACAAAATTAACAGAAAGGCAATACAAAAAGAATATTCATGCACAGTAATTAAATGTTCTCTTCAATATCAATTTTTAATATTTTTTATTTAATAATAATTTAACTCTTCAAGGATTTTTACATTTGAATAATTTTTACTTTTTTAAGATTTGTTGAATATATTGTACCAGTAGAGAAACTATTCCATAGATTGAATGATTTCAATTATTCTTAAACTGAAAGATTCCATTTTTTGAGACAATATATAATATGACAATATAACTGCATTTATAATATTTAAAATGTTTGAAATTTCTTTATTGTAACATCATAGTTTTTTCACAAAAATCACATTGCAGATTTGACCCTTAATCTATCTTCAGATGACTCTTAGTATCAAAAACATTCACTGATGCAACAACACATCACAAGGAAATGAAGGCTTATCTTAAAAACTCAAACAAAATCTTCAAACTCTTGTTAAATATATTCTCTAAATATAGGAAATGTGCAGTGGTGAGGCATGATAGTTTTGCTGGTCATTGCTAGAACTACCCAGTGTCTTTTTGAAGCAATGCAAACTGGACCCAGCTGCTGAAAAGTGGCCAAAATACAGCGGTTTGACTCTATTTGCATGGAAATTTTTATCCAAGGTCTCCAGAGATCACTGATTAATAATATAAAACTCTTTTTTTAACAAATAATTGAAACATATAACTCGAGATATATGCTTCCTGTTACATACAGACTATACAGATTGTATATTCCTTTTTGTTTTATGCAAGTTATGTTTTAAAACCATTCCTATATTATTTTGTTCAAATATTAATTTTGAATGCAAATAATCCCCTCTAGATGTAGGCAAGATAATGGATTTTGATGTTTTATAAGAAACCAATTACACAAATTACACAAAACCTCAAAACCCATATTCAGCAGGACAATGAATTTATCTCAGTCCTGCAAAAAGATATTTCAGACAAAAAGCAAAGAAATTTTATGCATATTGCACATTTGGGGAAACAGGTGTACATGCAACCTGCAGCCCATATTATGCCATCAGAAATTATGCATTTTTATGTCAGGGAACATGTTAAGTATTTAATGTTGTAATCTTCTTTGGACTGTCCATTACATTCCTCAAAACATAGCATAGGTTGCTAGAAATGCAGGAAATTGGGATCTAATTAGAAGCTATTTTCACTATTAAAATGGTGATTTCACTAACCTGGATGGCCAAGATGGCTAGAGCAAGTACCAACTCAGTGCTTGAGTCTGAAGAGTAGCAGGTTCAAAGGTTTGAATCCCACCTTGGGCATAGTTGTTTGTCCCTTGCCTCTCGTGTATGTGTTGTTGTGAAAGGCCTTGTGTTCTGCTGACTATAGATCAGAAGAGCCTGCAAAGTGTGTTAATGTCTAGTGTATCGTTGAATATGCATCCTCTCAGGACGTAAAGGGTAATCCAGCTATCCCCCGGAAAAAAGTCTAAGAAGAAGGAAAAAATAATGATTTAAAAAGTGATGTTTTTTGGAGATTTCAATTTTTGGAGCCCTTCTATTACATTTCATGGAATTTCAGCTCTTCTGATTACTCGCTATTCAGAACTTCATGTTTCATCCAAAAAAGAAGGCCTCCATGGAACACCACAAGCACCTTATGGAAGGGTGCCTATATCTGCCACCATGATGTTTATAAAATATTTCATGATATAAAACACTTAAATTAAATATTTGAATTTGCAGTTCAATTTCCAGATTAACATATGAGGAACACGTGGAGAAACATTTGGGGGAACCCATGGGCAACATGCAGGAGAATATGCTGAGGAACATGTGTGGTGAACATGTCAGGAAACTTGCAGAGTGTCTTATGCAGAAAATGCAGTTAAAATTTGGGGTAGATGTAGGAAACATGCAGAGGTAGAACTTGCAGGGTTACATACAGGAAACATGTAGAAAATGAAGGGAAACCTGCAAGAATCATGCTGAGAGAATGCAAGGGAACATACTGGGAGGATGTAAGGGAAAATGTGGAGGACATGGGGGAATATATAGCGGTACACATAGGGGAAATATGTGGGGAGCTAGTGAAGCAAATTATTAATATATATTATTATGTACAAGAAGTAACCTACAAATTGAAACTTTTTTTAATCTTCTTTTTCATTTTTGGAGCATTATTTCTTGTGAGTATCCTCACACTTAAGCATTCATGGGTAGTAGGTTCAAGGTTATTCTTGATTCTATTAGAAATTAAATTGACAAATCAAAAAGCGTTTCATAATAATCCTTTAATGCTATAATGAATACTACAGTGGTTGACCATTCAAAGTTGGGATCCAGTGAGATGCTATTTTCAGTTATAAAAACATTATTTACACAGTATAGAATGTTTGCATGGGTCCTTCTAATAATTAGTGGTTTAAACAAAAAATCATTTTAATATTTTCCTCCTTAATTCCCAATTTTACACATTCATAAAAATATATCTATTTTAAGGTAGTATTCGTTATTCTCTGCCTCATGTTCTTTCATCCTATCTTTCACGTGTTGTCTCAATTTTAAATAATATATATTCATCAGGTGCCTCGTGTTTTAGTGCCACCGTCCTCATGGATCCTTAAACCAGTCCTGACCACAAACATATATAAAAGCAAAACAACTTGCAAATAACTCTCTAAATACTACTCCCATTCAAGATACATTCATTTTAGTTCCCAGAATAAAAATGCTCTGCATTGATAACTGTTAAATTTACAATATTGTCTTCTAAAGTAAATGTAATTGGAAAGAAAAAATGAGCAAAATTGAAAGACAAATGTCATGAAAAAGTTTTCTTTAATTTAAAAGTAATTTTGGAAGAATTTCTACTTTTTTCAAAACATTTTTTTTTTTGATCATTGCAACTATTTTTTGGATGGAAAAGACAAAATTAAGTAATCTTCTTTATCAATACACAGACATTAGCCAAGATAGTGAACATCAAGGCAATGTTCA